ACACAATTTCCTTTCACTATATTTAGACAATAATTCTTATAGTATATATCTTAACAATAATTTGCCAACATTAATCTCTACAAATAGATCTACAAATAATCCCCCCCCCCTCTTTCTCCTCTTCATCTTCACTAATCGTCACAACATCGTGAAACGCACCCTCGCGGCCGATATCAGAGCCCACCGCAAAATACATTCTGATTGCATAATTTACTTGGAATGCATGCGATGCTGTAGCCCTATACTGTTTCGGCAAACATTTGATTCATTTTGCCGCTTTTTACAACGCTGTTCTTACTCCTTTCAACTCCATACAACTTTTGCCGTTGAAATGGATACAGAAGCAGCAAGAAACTGTGTATGATCGAACCTTTTATGTTTCACTATGTCACTATTGCGTTGGCGTAGTTACAGTGATATTAGCGGAGGCTGTTTAAAAGCAACATCTGATAACTTAAAAGATTTAATTGCGAGTGAAGCGTGAATGCGTGGATGGGGTATTTAGAGACGATACGTTACTCAAACACATGACAACGCTAGACAGAGAAGAAAAGATGACGATGAGAGAAAGGAGAAGATGAGAATGAGAGGATGAGAGGATGAGGATGTGGATGACGATAACAATGGCGATACTGAGGAGGATGGGGATGAGGATGAAGATGAGGATTAGGGTGAGAATGGGGATGAGGATGAGAATAAGAATGAATCTGAAGATGGGGATGGAAAAGAACATAAGATAGTAAAAGAATTAGGTTGGTTTAATCCTGTTGAAGATGCTAAATGTAAGGTATTTACGCTAAGAGATTCTATGTAGAATTGGTGTATTATTATCTATTTAGGATCAGCTCCAGATTGTCCCACATTAAAGACCCGTGCGTCTGGAGTGCTGCATACCAATGGATCACGACCCTAAACGCTCCCTGAACGCCGGTCTATATATGGAGATCGACACTACCACACTCTCATTACCGAAATGCTAATCGAAACAGTCGAAGATGAGATATGGATGATAGAAGCTTTTAACACCACGTGTTCACAAACCGCGAAGCGATTCCCAGTTTCAACAAAAGCGATCGATGGCAAAATAAGCAGTCATAGCGGTACTTCATAACTAACGCAAAAAGGCGGCAAAATAAACAACTTTGCGGCGAATTCCTATTGCAGGTTAAGAGCGTCTTAGATTCCCATTTTCTACTGCACTAGGAAATCGAAAGGACGATTCAAACTATTTGCCCTCGTACAACTATTGCTCTTTGCTATGAAAAATACCATAACCTAAAAGCTTTGTAAACAATTTGCACTCGTCTGAAAGACAGAGAGAACGAGAGTGAGTGCTATAACGACGTTAATAACGATATTGTTGCTTACACGGAATAAATATTTATAGCTCGCTCAGTTTACTCTGCAAATGATATCGATTACACGAACATACACGCGGGGCGCGCGGGGCACGAATTCGACTCTATAGCGCATCACGTCTGCCAAGCCTCCTTCATCGACCTGACAGCGGGCGAAAAGAGAGTCGAATCAGAGAACGAATGCCCGTAGATCTGTATGCGTTATATACTCGGCTGTCACGATGAAATTTAGGAAGTCGCTTGATAATAGATGGCGTGAATAGAACGTATGCAAACACACAAAATATCTACGTGCGCGCGTGCGTGCGTGCGTGCGTGCGTGTACACGTGCGTGACCATACGTGATTGCGTGCGTACGTGCGCGTGCATACATGTATGTGGCTAAGTTGATTTTGGCGATTGTTTCTGTATAGACAGTTAACAGAACAACTCGATAATGACACATCATGCAATATCAGAGATGCGAGTATATATAGTATTTTCAAAATACCTGGCCATAAACATCATTTATGGTAGAGAAGAAAGAACCTAACTTCACCGTATACGTGCGGTGCATTCACCAATGGCATACCGCCCTCTAGGTATACTCACTATCTTTCATGATCTCAGATAGGTGTGTCTCCGTACATTATTCTGATTGATACCGAATTATATTGGCCTTAATCAAATCTGTTTCGTGCTGACGTACGTGCTATGCCTCTACGTTTACTCGTGACGAATCTTTGTCAGATTTTTTTTGATTCTAAACCTCTGTAGGCAGAAACTTGACATTGTAGTTCATTCAGCTATGTATAGGTAGACCTGGGTACTCCTTCGCTCGTTCGGTGTGCACTACTGGGGCGGCCGGGGGAATTTTCGAAGGAAGCCTACTTTTTCGCGTAAAATCACGTTGCAACGTGGCCATTTCATGTATGCCGAGAAAAGCTTGTTTACAGAAAGACGTGTGTACGATTTTTTTTTAGTTAGGAACATATAAGGTGTCACTTGCAACGTCAATTCAGGGGATGGTATAGTGATTTCTCAAAAAAAAACACCTATGGGCTGACTATTACTGCTGATTTATGGAACTTTTTTCGTATGTATGACCGCCAATGGGAAACGATTTCCCACCGTAATACGTACCATAAGTAGATTTAGAATCGTCACGTTTGCTAGTTTTGGGGGGGGGCTGCGTCTATGAGCTCCTAACTCGTTCCCGCCTCGTTCGTACGTTTACAATGAGAGTTATAATAGATTTTCGCGCCGGGAGTTGCTGTCTGATGTCTGTTATTAAAGCATCGAGGGTCGGGCGTGACGGGGTATGTGGGCGGCGCCCGGGAACAGAAGGCGACTTGTATACATGCGTGCGCGTTGATTTACGTGACCAGCGTGCAGACAGCATAACGCACGTGTGAGTCTATAGAGGTGACATTGCATTTGCTTATTCGTAGTGCGTACATGCAGGGGCTTTTTAAATGTTAAACGCGTCGATTCCCCGTGATGAAAAAGGTGGTGTAGTCGTCTTAAAACGCGAAAGAATGAACAATAAGTTGAGCAGTTAGAGTTACGTGGAACGCTTGCAAAAAGCGTAAACATAACAGCATGTTTTCCGTTGGGAAATTGTATTAAATGAGATTATGTTCGCGATGCTGTAAACTTACACGCAGCGTTAGTTATAAAATCACACAAACACGATTCGCAGCGAGAACAAATTCATTCAAAAACAAGTTATTTAACGCCAAACAAAGTTGTTCCTCATTCCATCGCACATACGCATACGTGCTAGTTATAAACAGCAGTAAGCAGTAGTTCAGCAGATATTTGGCACGGTTAATTGGAATGCGCCGTTTAAATCTTTTTATTAAATCAACTAATTGTTAATTTTAATTATCAGTCGTAACTAACTAATTTCAACTACATCCATGCCGCGTCACGACATGTACAGTTGCAGGCTGTTTGTCCAGCGCGGCAGACGACTTAACAAGTTAGGTATTGGGGCAGACGCCTCCTATGTGTGTGTGTGTGTGTCTGTGTGCGTGCGTGCGTGCGTGTGTGTGCGTGCGTGCGTGCGTGCGTGCGTGCGTGCGTGCGTGTGCGTGCGTGCGTGCGTGCGTGCGTGCGTGCGTGCGTGTGTGTGTATGCGTGCGTGCGTGCGTGCGTGTGCGTGCGTGCGTGCGTGCGTGCGTGTGCGTGCGTGCGTGTGTGTGTGTGTGTGTGTGTGTGTGTGTGTGTGCGTGTGTGTGTTGTGTGTGTGTTTGTGTGTGTGTGCGTGGTGTGGTGTGTGTGTGTGTGTGTGTGTGTGTGGTGTGTGCCTGGCTGTGCGTTGGTGTGTGTGTGTGTGTGTTTGTGTGAACGCAGGAGATCGTAAGCAGCAATCAGGTGTACACGTATACACTGTCTCGTACGTTCGAGCGCGGTCACGAAACAACTATCGCTCTAAGTTTCCTTTGTGCGCATTTAATTCGCCTAAAAGCTTTCCTCCGTCTATAAAAAAAGCTTTTGATGTTTAATTAAAAATACGCGGGTAATTACGCGCAAAATTTACCTTTCGTGCGAAAGACGCTAATCGTTTTTGATCTGTCACAATATGGCGCGTGCGATCTGGTGGCGGTTTCGTAAACATTTAGGTGTGTCTACCGTGTGCTAGAGTACCTGGTCGAAATAATTATCCCGCATTTTTTTAAATGCGGTCGCGCACCTGCCGTCCGTTGATACAGGCGACGTCTTTTCAATGGCAAACGACCTCTCACCAGCGATGCGTTTTGTCGGTCATTGTCGGCGCAATTACACGGCAAGAGCACGCGCATGCACGACAAAGGGAATCTTTGTGCATCGGCACCGCGTTAAACGTGGGGTGCGGGGCTGGAAATCCCTGGATGCGCTTTTGATCAAAATCTGCTGCTCATATTTGCGCTTGTTGCTGTGCTCTCGCCTTGCCAGTGAAGAGAGAGAGAGTTTTGTGAAGTTTCTCTATAACGCCCCGAGGCCGCCAATAATGAAAGACCGCGATCCTGAACAAGCCCACCGCTCCTTATACCAGTGGCGCTCCTCACCCTCCACGTACGCTACGATCTACAAGGGGAACTTGTCGATATTTAACCAGCTGGCTGCTATATCTGTGCGTGTACGGGTCTTCGTGCTGGGCGTAATTTGGCGCGAAGGCGCGTTGGAATGACGGTACCAGCATCGGGCGGGGTTTGAAGTGAAACCAGCTAACGTTAGGGCGATACGTAATGAGTTATTACGATGAACATAATTATATATATATATATATATATAAGATATAATGCGTATACGCATCAGCTGCCGTGAGGAGCAGGATCACATGCACACACCCAACAATCGAAATCGTCATGTTCAATACTCGCGTGCACGCTCGGTGAGTCGCACCTCGCGACGCCCCTTCTCAACGATTTTCCGCTTTTCAAGAATATTCGCGTGTCTTATTTGCAGGTGGCGAGCGAACTACAGCGAGATACGACTACCGGATCCACACGCCTGCAGTAAGGGTCTAAGAATGTGCGGGTACTCTCTATACGAAGCCGATTAACCGATAATTAACATGCCCCGAGTGATGATGATCTAGAGACTGATGAGGCCTGCTGGCTGCATGGCTGCCCCTGTAGCGTGAGGTTGTTCAGAGCTACAATAATGGACGTGATGATTGCACGGTAAGTCGTTACAGTAACAAAGACGTCTACACTCTGTTAGGGAGACATCTGCCGCAGTATGCACAACCACTTAACATATTATCGGGAGTGAATAATAGCGATTATTCCCATATCTCTATTATTCACTCCTGATATTATGTGCCACATTTAAATCTATACTTCTCGCATAAATTAGAGTGTAACCCTATAATATTTAACACTTTACATACCATATGTTCCACATTTAAATCTATACTTCTCGCATAAATTAGAGTGTAACCCTATAATATTTAACACTTTACATACCATATGTTCCACATTTAAATCTATACTTCTCGCATAAATTAGAGTGTAACCCTATAATATTTAACACTTTACATACCATATGTTCCACATTTAAATCTATACTTCTCGCATAAATTAGAGTGTAACCCTATAATATTTAACACTTTACATACCATATGTTCCACATTTAAATCTATACTTCTCGCATGCAT